AGAAAGCCGCGAAGGACGATGCCGCCCCCGCTCTTCGTCCTCGCGAGGCGGCCGCGCCCCGCGCTGCTGCGCTGCTGCTGAAATCGGGGAGCGGGCGCTGTCCGCCAGCGGCCGGGCCGCCATGGCATCCGGCTGTCCGCCGGCCTTCGGTGACCCGGGGGAAACGAGGGAAGGCTTTTTGTGCCCCCTTTGCCTGAAGGACCTCCAGTCTTTCTATCAGCTTCAGTCGCACTATGAAGACGAGCACTCAAGTGAGGACAGAGATGTCAAAGGACAGCTCAAAAGTAAGAGGCACGACAGCTGTTTTAATGCGTTCGGTTTTGCCATGTAAAATTCCATACGACACAAGCTCTCTCAAAATGTCTAAGAATGCTGAAATATTAATTGAAGTGAGGTATGGGGTGGGTTCCATTTCTGTATAAATTACCTTAGGCCGAGGCATTATTTTTACATTGTCCACGATACTTTCAATAAGTAAATTCTAAAGGAGGCGCTTAAAAGACATCGCTCTTCAAATGTCTGATTTTATGCCTGATTTTTATTATTGGCCTTTTGGGGGGTTTTGTTTGTTTGTTTTTATCTGAAAACTCCGATTCATACTGTAACACAGATGAATTCCCAAGTGTTACTTGAAGACCTTACAGAAAAGGGGGAATCTCTGGTACTTGCCAGGTACCAATTCATTAATCCCTTGTTTTGACAGTAGATAAAACTGTAGTCGCAGTTAAAGTGTAAAGTTAAGGAAGGTTGTTGGTGGGAAAAGATGGAAAAGAATGTGGGTGGTGGAGCTGGCAGTAGATGCTGGGAGTGTCCCAGGGTTGTGCTATGGATTACCAACTTTTACTGGTGTTTCAAAAATCCCTTTGAATTCTGTTTAACTAAAATATTTCCCTTTTTTACCCCCCTTGCCTACACAGTGTCATTTTACGTTGAGAGAAAAATATGCAAAAACTGGTGATAATTCTGTGTGTTCCCTGCAAAAAATCTTTCTGGTTTTGGTTTATTATACTAGAGATAGTGGCCTGGCAGTCTTTAATTTTTACTCTTCCCCCTCTTATTTTTTTTTCCTGCGATTGATGATTATTACTTCAAAAGTCTCTTTTCTCAGTGAAAAGTTTGTGTTCTTAACAAGCCTATCTTAAGGGTAGCACAGCTGAATATTCCATGAATCTTTAAGTTGCTTTCCATCAGTCTGGCTACTTCTTGGCTCTTAGCACTGTGCTCTTCTTGGACAGTGAAGGTAGACTGGTCAGTACTGCAGTCATGTTCTCATCGTGGGTACAGTGCTGTAATAGCTGAATCACAGATGCTTCTGTGGAGCGTTTAAACCAGAACAACAATATGGTTCTCATTGTGATAAGAGGAAAGAAAACAACAATAACTTAGGCTTGGTAAGATTTCCCAAACACTTCTTTTATTTAATACAAAACACCTGCATTTTGATTTTGTTCTCTAGTGTTCTTTTAATCTAAACTAAAGTACTGTGGCTTCTCAGGCTGTCTCGCATATGTGTTCTTGCATAAAGGATGTTGGTTTTGTCTGCTTAGTTTCTGTCCTAGTTGTTCATGTCAAGGTCTATCCATTCTAGAAGAAGGAAGGCCAACAGAATCACCTATTTAAATTACCCGTTTTAGGGACTAGTGTTCAAACTGTGCATCACAAGTGGTTGCATGACTTCGTGCTGAACTCCAGCTCTCCCAATTGTGGAGTTCTAGAAATGCTTACAAATCACCTTACTACTTCAGTTGAGTTATACTGAGGTGGTCAAGTTTGACTTCATGGCAAACAAGATTATAAAGTTTGCTTGAAAAGCTTTTGTGTCTGTGGCAAAGCCGTGAGGCATCCCTACTTCTTTTTGAGTATGTCGGACTTTCAAAGTCTCGAGTGCAAATATATTTCCTATTTAGATAGTGTAAACTTCACTTAAGAAACTGCGGTGTCTAGCTGGCATTTGTTATGCTGGCTTGAGAGTAGGTGGGGGGAGGAGTAGTCCTATTTCTTAGATGATGTTACAATGCTAGCAAAGCCCTTGCCAACCTGACACAGTTTTGTTGAGAAGTGTGTTTTATATCACTGAGTGTCATTTTGGGAGGTAGCATAACTTCAGCAGCTCAAAAACTGCTAGGAAGTATGATGTCTGCATGAGGGGCCTGCTGGCACAGCCTTAGTGGCTGACGCTTGGCGGGGAGACAAGGTCAAGGTGGCAGTTCCAGTGTTTTGGAAGCTAAATAAGAAAATTAGAAATATGAAAGGGCATGCTAACTCATGGTTCCCAGCAGCTTGTTAGAAAGCTTGATATATAAGAGATCTAGTTCAAGGAGGTACTGAATGTGTTTGGCAAGAAAAGTAGTGCCCTCAACTTCTGCTAGCATCCAGAGAGGAACATGGCAAGGGCAATAAAAGCTCTGAAGTTTCAAGTTCCTGGTTCCAAAGTTTTTTTGTTTTTGGCCCGGGAGACTGCCCTCCCCTCACTAGCATTCATATGAGATAATGCGGTGGGCTGTTCAGTAATTTTTGAAATTATTTAGGTGTACAGGCATACTGAAATTCTTAGTTTGTGCAACAAGGCAAAGAAAGTGTTGAACATCCTTGACTCCTAAGAAAATCATTGGGAATTAAGAGAATTAAGATGATATCTGTATGATGTCCCAGAATGCTGTGAAATGGGTCTCATAGTTTAAGATAGCTTACTGTTTTACAGTGAAGTCCCTGAATGGAGTGTCTAAAACTACTGTTTTGTCATTAGGACCTTAGTGCTACTTTATGATAGATAACAAAGAGCATTTCCTGTCATCTGTGATTCTCTGAACCGCATTCTGGTTCTAAACAGAACGTGTTGAAGATAAACTTGTCATCAAGGAAAAAGACTTGTGCTAAAAGATGAGCAATATTCCATACTGGTTTCAGGTGACAAATATTTGGTGACTACCTGCCACGTTTGATAACTTGGGTTTATCTTTTTCAGATCTAGTCCAGAAGGCCAAAAGAGCAAAGAAGAAATTGCTGAAACGAGAAGGAGATGACAGAACTGATTCTGGATCTCAGGAACGATATGAGTCATTCAGTTATGGTGGAGTAGATCCATACATGTGGGAGCCCCAGGAAGTCGGTAGGAGAGCTAGAAAGCAATAAACAGTGGGGATAACTTTTCTTTTAATCTTGATTGGGAAAGTGCTACACTATTGCTGAAGTTGCATGAAATTGTCTGTATTGCGTTTGATTCACTGTAGCATGGGGCTATGGTTTGCATACTGATTTTGTGCAGCCTGCCTACGTTGTGTGGGGTGATGGGGAAAGAGCAGATAATGGGGGAAAAAAAAAAATGTGTAAAATCAGTACCCCAGCTAACCTTGAGAGCAGGATAGCTGTTTGTCATGTCATTGTGCCTGAGCTGTTGAGGCCTGCTGGATATGTGTTTACCTCTGTGCATCCAGCTTTGTTGAGGTATTCTGCAACCATTTTGTGGCTTTTTACAAAACAGATAATCCACTAATTAATAATTAAGCTATAGCTATATAAAATCTCCAGCTTTTGGGCTACACGTAAAGTAGTTGTTAGTTTACATGTCTGACAAAAAGCTTATCCGTTGATTTAAACTCTTTCAGCTTTTTCCTTGGATTTGAGGTGTAGATCATTTCTCATTAAAAAGAGGTTTACTTTAAAAAAAAAAAAAAAACCACACCCAAAACAAAAACCAAGCAAAAACCCCACAAAACAAACAAACAAACCTCATGCAACCCCAAACCCACCCCTCTGAATATAAATCTACATTTGTAGAATTTCAAGGATAAGTTGACTGAGCCTGTAATTACAAATACTGCGACTGGAAATTGCCTCTTACTGTTACTGAAATATTCTGGTTATTTTCAGGGGGAGGAAGCAGCACTATGTCTGGTGGATCCTGGGAAAGTTTCCCCTGTGCTGCTGACAGACTAGGACTTAGTCCTTTGGGTCTGCAGAGTCTGAGTTCTGTAAATTATTATACTTTTGACTTTGTAGCTATTTCAGCAGCAATCATAGTATAAATATTAGCTAAGAATAAATTTAGGCAGTGAACTAGCAGAAGGTTTCTGAACATTAGAGAAGTGAGAACTGTTTTCTGATCAGAGTGGAGAAGATGAACCTTACGGATTTTAGGACAGGATTTGGTGGGTT